AGGAAAGGGATAGCGGGGAAGGAGGGGAAAAAATGAGAAGCTGATACCAGGGGCTTAAGTGGACAGCAAATGTTTTGAGAATGATGAGGGCAATGAATGTACAAATGTGCTTCCCAAAATTGATGTTTGTATAGATTGTGATAAGAGTTGTATGTGCCCCTAATAAAATGATTTAAAAAATTATAGCAAGCTATTGAGTGAGTAGGGAGCAGGGAGGGAGGGGGAAAAATGAGGAGCTGATACCAGGGGCTTAAGTGGACAGCAAATGTTTTGAGAATGATGAGGGCAATGAATGTACAAATGTGCTTCCCAAAATTGATGTATGTATAGATTGTGATAAGAGTTGTATGTGCCCCTAATAAAATGATTTAAAAAATTATAGCAAGCTATTCAGTCAGTAGACTAGGGCAGAAACTCATTTCACAATGACAAATTTATAACAGAAGATTCATCATTACAAAAAAAAAATAGATTCATCATTATTTAATTTTTTCTAATGGAAACATAATATGTAAATATATAGTTAACTTAAAATGTTATGACGCCCTTCTTTTTCTTTTTATCAAAACCAAGGCAAAATATCAAACTAGATGCTTTGTTTCTATCCCCACAAACACTTGAGTCAGAAGTGTCTTTAAATTTCTCTCAAGGCTTCTGCTTAGAACTTGTGGAAAGTTTTATTCTGATCACAATAAATATATGTGAAATGTATCGTAATTGATTTTCATAATGCCGATAACTAAGTGTCGGGGGTGTTGTTTCGTTTGTTGCTCAGGTGGAAGTAGAGTGGGAAAGGATGTGCTCTGCTCTAATTTGCCTGATGAGTCAAGATTGGCAAAAGGAGAGTTGAGGGAGATCCAGCCTACAGCCTTCATTTGGAGTTTGGCAGTGTTTACAACAAATGATAGCAACGCAGGCAATATTTCCCCCTGGGCTTCATGTGAATTCTTCCCTCAGGTACTTCCAGGGGCTCGCACCCTTTCACCCACATGATGAACCCTCACCTGCACCCTCGTCTGTACCATGGGTGCTACGGAGACATCATGACGATGGACACTTCCGGGGCCTCCTGTGGTTTAGACAGGTTGCTTCACTGTGGTGAGTGAGAAGTAAAGCCAAGGCTTTGCTTCCCCCCTTTCATCATTTCCAGATTCCCTCTCAGGAAGGAGCTTTTGAAAAACATAATTATGGTTATAATGATGATACCAAATTAAACATTAGGGGGAAAAAGAACTCTTGCATCATTACAAACAAAATCATCCAGCCACCCCCCGGACCAAAAAAAACTGCTTTAAAATTTTCCCCAGTCTTTCCAATTCTTGTCCAGATCTATGTTATTTCTATGTATTGAAATCATGGGTTAAATAAAAATATTATATCCTAGCTTTGATTTTGGTTGTTGTTACTTAATGTTACAGCATGAGAATTTTAAGGAAGCTTAGAACATGCCCATTGTATTTTATTTCTCATTTGTAATCTTGCTCCAAATCTTCTTTATTACATATGATCTTCAAGAACAAGGCAACAATCCTTGGAATGATTAGAACAAACTTCAAAATTGCAGCAAAGTTCTTTGTTCGTTTTATAATGTCAGAACTGGTAGCAATCACAAAGGTCCCATCCAATCTTCTCATCTCATCCCCTCAATTTATAGCTAAAAACACCAAGGCTCACAGGGAGGGAGACAGCCCGCTCCAAGCGCTCATAGTGGCAGTGCTGGACGAAACTCCAGCTTGGCTTACCTATAGACCCAGAGTCTCCCCAGTGCACTCATGCGACCAAACGGAGGAGAGAGAGAGAGAGAGAGAGAGAGAAATAGCACCCATCTGTGGTTGTGGATCAGTTTGGCGTCTGTCACCAGAGTCAAAAGAATGCCTTGAAAATGTGGTCCCAACCCAAGGGAAGTGGTCAGGGGCTATGACTAATTTATATTTTGGGGAAAAAAATAATCATCTGGGATAGAGGAAACACAGTTTTGTTTTTATTGACTTCAGGGATCCGTGGGTCTGAAATGTTTGCGGAGATGGATTTGCGGGCCATGAAGCCTTACCAAACTATGATCAAAGAAGTTGGGCAGAGGCACTGCGTGGACCCAGCCCTGATTGCAGCCATCATCTCGAGAGAGAGCCACGGTGGAGCTGTCCTGGAAAACGGCTGGGATCATCATGGACTTAAATTTGGCTTGATGCAGGTACCCCACTGTTGTTGTTGTGAGGTGCCCTTGAGTCCGTTCTGACCCATAGTGACCCTGTGCACATCAGAACGAAAGCTTGCAACGCCCTGCATCACCCTCACAATCGTTGCTATGTTTGCGCCCTGCTATTGTTGCAGCCACTGCGCCAATCCATCTCATGGAGGGCCTTCCTCTTTTTTTGCTGCCCCTACATGACCAATCATGATGTCCTTCTCCAGGGTCTGATCTCACCTAACATGTCCCAAGTATGTATCTCATCATCCTTGCCTGTAAAGAACACTCTGGCCATGCTTCTTCCAAGAGAGATTTGTCTGTCCATTTGGCAGTCCATGGTACTTTCAATGATCTTCACCAGCACCACAATTTAAACATATCGATCCTTCTTCAGTCTTCCTTATTCAATGTTCAACTCTCACCTGCACATGAGGTGATTGAAAATGCCATAAATTGGGCCAGGCACACCGTAGTCCTCAAAGTAATCACCTTACTTTTCAAGGTACTTAGCTAGAGACTTTTAATCAATCCTACTTCATCCTTTGTTTTTCTCTTTTGCTAAATTAAAACTAGGTTAAAAAGCCACTTGCAGTGCCGAAGGTGCTTCTGCATCATTTGTTCTGTGATTGCACTAGCAACGCCTTGGTCTTTTAGTCAAGGTTTATCAGCTATTGGATATTGTCAATAAATTATTTTGAGTTTCATATCTATAATTCTGAAATAAAATTATCTAGGGGTCTTCTAGGTTCATGAAATAGTTCATGTCAACCACAATACACCTCTTCAGGCAAACAGAGGAAGGACATTCACATTATCTGGGTATTTGCTTGTAGGGTCTATTTAAAATTGTTTGTTGAAACCCATGTTTCTAGCAATCCCAGATAGAAATAAAAAATTTACCTGAACTAGTTGGATGATTGGTTTTGATTGCAAGTACCTAGACTCCCTTGTGTGCCCATTATTTGTTTTTAAACACCTTTTTCATGTGGTGGCTGTTGGAGGGTACCGTTGAGTTGATTCTAATTCATAGGGACCCCGAGCGACGGAGTGGAGCTGCCCCCAGAGGGTTTTCTTGGCTGTGACCCTTACACAAACAGACCCCCAGCTCTTTCTCCCACAAGCCACTGGCTGGGCTTGAATCATCAACCTTTTAACTCACAGCCGAGGCTTCACTCGTGTCTTTAGGACTCCTTTTTTCATATTCACATATATATTCGAGGGGCTTCCAAAGGTGTGTGAGAAGATAGTGGGATTTCCCCCAAGCTTTGTGAAGCTCCCTGGTATATAAGTACAGAGTAACTCGAAGACTTCACCACACTGTGCCATCTGTACTCCACACCCTCGCTTTGCTTCCGACTCTCTTCTCTGTGGAGGAAAGGAGAGGGGCCTTGACTCTCTGAGGAGAGAGGAAAGAGGAAACGGAGCAAACTGGGAGCAATACGGAAACTGTGCTGCCTCATCCAGACGTTGACATTACTATTTGAATTTTCTAGCTTGATAAGAAAATTCACCACCCGGTTGGTGCCTGGGACAGCAAAGAACATCTTTTGCAGGCTGTTGGGCTTCTAGCAGAGAAAATTAAGACAATTCAGCAAAGATTCCCCAAGTGGAGTGTGGCTCAACACCTCAAAGGTAGGTAATGCCTCGTTGAAATGAAAAGTGAATGAAACTTTGAAAGCCAGGTGTGGCTGGGCCTTTCTGTGAGTGCTCCCACTGGTGGCCCACTGGTCGGGGAGGAGCTGTGGAAAGACTGCATTTGTACTGTCTGACTGAGTTACTATGAATGGCCTTCCTTCCCTAACTTGCATTTCTGCTTTTGTAAGATGTGAAGGTTCTTAATGTCTCTCCGTGGTTGGCAAACCATTGAGTGATATCTTAAGAATCAATGAGCCAGTTTAAAAGAATATGTTTTACCTTCCCCTGGAAGGTGTTTTCCTAGTACAGGAAACTATTAATCACTTCAGGATACATAGTGCCTCTCTCCTTCCACGCTTTAAAAATATTAATTTAGAATAGTTTCTTTTCTATTTCTAGGTTCTTGTGGTTAGAGTTTAGGACCAGGGCTTGGTTCTTGTAGATTATGTGTCTAGTAACCACACAAAGATACGCACCCGAATCGTGGGGACCACTATGCATCCCATACTCAGTGTGGCTCTAATTCTGCACCATGGCAGGTGTTAAAGAAACATCCATCGAGTGAGTGAATGTTTGCACAAAGCTCCGAGTGCTGAATTATTAGAGAATATTAAGCATCCTCAGATTTAGAACCTAATTCTTCCAAGTCTGGACTATATAAGAAGACAATATGACCGCTAGAAAGAAGAGCAAAGTCTTAAAGAAGAGAGAGAGAAAGCTGAGATTCTCCCGCTGATGCTTGGGGTACATGCTCTGTCCAGGGTGAAGGGAGAAGGGGAGCAGGACACCGGGACTGCCTGCCTGGAGGGCTGACATCCCAGAAAGGCTCGCATCTTATCTCTGCTGCACATCCGCACTGGGATCTAAACTATGTGTCTCCTTGTAGGAGGTCTTTGGGCCTATAAGTCAGGAACCGACTCCATTGGCAACCCTGTGGACACAGAGACTGACTTCGCCGATGATCTTCTTGCCCGAGCTAAATTCTATAAAAGACATGGCTTTTAGGAAAAGCTATGCAAGTGGATCGGATGGGCAGGGTGCTCAGACAGCCTCTCCTGTCAGGGGGGCTTGATGAGAGCATGTTCAATCTGACGTGGACAAAGGAGTGGTTGCAAATTTGAGGGGGAAAAAATTTATTCACCAATTTTCTTCATGAAAATAAGCATTGACAAAAAGAATGAAGAGAAATTCACCCAGTTTTTTTATATTGATGGATTAATTTTTTATATACTAGTTTTATTGACATATCTTACACATTCCAATATATCCATTCACATACAATTCCGTTGTTCAATCCCATCGGGAGGGGTTTTACAACCATCATTGCTATCAGCCCACCATTTCCTCTTCCCCCACCCATCCTCCCCGACCCTCAGGGAACCACCACTCCTGCCACTGCCTCTGAGGGGTCATTTATCTTGACTACCATTTACCGAGCAATCTTAAATGGACAAATGAACAAATGCAAAGCTAACGTGATCAGTGAGGTAAACACATAAACACTTTGCTAGTAAGAAGAGGACATCGTACAGAACCAGAGGATAGTTGTGCGGTTCATCAGTGCCATACTGCACCCTGGCTCTACCATCCATTCCATGTGGCCCTTCTGACAGGGATTGTCCAATCATCTCACAGGGGGATTTTGGGTCTCCACTGCATCCGTGCCCCTTCACATTGAGTTGGTTGTGCTTTTGAACTTCTGATATCTCTTCCCATCGACACCTCATGATCACACAGGCTGGTGTGCTTCTCTCATGTGGGCTTTGTTGCTTCCCTGCTAGATGGCCGCTTGTTTAATTACAAGCCTTTAAGACCCCAGACACTATATCTTTTGATAGCCAGGCACCATTGGCTTTCTTTACCACATTTGCTTATACGCCCATTTTGTCTTCGGCGATTGTGTCAGGGAGGTGGATATCATACAATGCCACATTATTAGAACAGATGGGTCTTATCGGTCTTGCACTGAGGCAAGATTTAAGTAGAGGCTCAAAGTCCATATGCTTCCTTGTTACATATGCATATATATGCATATACTCAAATACATATATGCTTATATATATTTTTCCCCTCTTCTACCCCACTGTTGTTTACCCATCATTCACCTTTCAGTAATTCCTCTCAGATACAATTCAATTGTTTAAACATGACAGGAAAAGCTACCCACTCCTTGCTGTTAATTTTAGAACACTTACTATTCTCTTGTACCCATCATGATTGGCCCCATCCCCTCGCCCCCACCCCCCAGGAACCATTGGTCCAGTTGCTGTCTTTGTAAGTTTGCCTATCTTTAATGTCTTGTATAGATAAACACCCCCCCTAAAAAATACAGGTCTCAGTTTGCAGTATGGTTCCCATGAAATATACACAAATATACACAAACAGTCACATAAAATTGCTTTTTAGTGACTGGACTATGTAGTCATAGTAAGTGGAAGCTATATATTCCAACTAGAGCTACTTTTAGCCCATGAATTTAATGCTTACTTGCCTTATGGAATTCAAAAGAAGTAAACCTGACTTGAGCCTTTGTCCTTTTCTCAATACCTGTCCACTCAGGTTTTATTGAGAGAAGTGAACCTGGGAGGCCATGGAGAAGCTAGGGATGGACATCCAGCTCCACAAGTAACTGAGATGATGTACACAGCATCTCCTGGCCCATACAAGGCTCTCTTTCTCTTACTTTCAAAGACTGGCTCTTTTCTACTTTCAGTAGTTGCTACCATACACTCTCTCCTTAGCAGGTCTTCTCTCCTACAAACATGGTTGAAGATAAATAGGTATGTTTTCCCTTAATTATGTTCTTTGATTGCAAGCAAAAATAACTAACTTTGGGAAATTTAAGCAAGAAAACAGAAGTATAAGAAGCCTATCAGAAAACTCAGAGACCCAACAGGAATGGCAAGGACATGAGCAGGAACCAGGCAACTCTGAGTGTTTAGGAAGCAGGAACAGTTTGATTATACTTTATAGAATCCTCAATGCAATAATAAATTAGGACCTTCACTACAAATATGAATTCCCCCTGCCCCTTCTTCTCACTCTTTACCAGAATCTTAGTTGCCAGAGAGAGAATATGATTGGCTTATCTTTTTAAAAAATAATATTTTTATTGACATATCTTACTCATTCCAATATATCCCTTCCCTTCCCATACAGTTCTGTTGTTCAATTCCTTCGGGTGGGGCTATACAATCATCAGTGCTATTACTCCCCTCACTTCTCGTACCCTTAAGGAACCCTTAATGCTGTCTGTCTGTCTCTGAGAGGTCATCTATGTTGACTACCATGTACTGAACGATCTTAAATGTACAAATGAGCACAGACAAGTTTGACATGACCAATGAGGTATATCATATATGGACCATAATAGTAAGGAGGGGGGGATCTTAAAGAACTAAAGGATACTTATGTGGTTCTTCAGTGTCACACAGCACCCTGAATTTATCCTCCATTCCATGAGGCCCTTCTAATTGGGATTGTCCAATAGTCTTGCCGGTCACCTTCATAACAATTTGGATGCTTGTTTTTTGAATTTCTGATACCTCTTCCCATCGACACCTCATGATCACACAGCCTTCTTGTTTCTTCCACATGGGCTTTGTTTTGTCCCTGCTAGATAGACGCTTGCTTAACTCCAAGCTTTTAAGACTCCAGATACTATATCTTTTAATAGGCAGGCACCATCAGCTTTCTTCACCACATTTACTTAAGCACCCATTTTATCTTCAGTGATTGTGTCAGGGAGGTGGGTATCATACAGAGCCACATTATTAGAACAAACTGTTCTTGTACAGAAGTAAGATTTAAGCAGAGGCCCCAAATCCATTTTCCTTGTTGCATTTACATATATACACATATTAATATATATTTATATATATGTGTACACAAACACACA